TGGGAACAAGAAGGTTTTCATTGTAAGAATACTTAATCTGTATATAAGATGGCAGTAATGTATGTAGTGGCTGTAAACTACGGAGAGCCAAAGACTTTTTCTTTGGTCCCTAGAGATTATAGTCCTCACTATTTTGCATTCACTATTCATCCCTAACAAAGCAATATACACATATTGTAGAATTCAACAATTATTTATTGAATGACTTACTAAAGTATCAGTATCTTTGAGGAAAAATTGCTATTTCTTAGTAATAAAGACTATTGAAATAAAAAACTATACAATATTGTATTCAGATATTTTCTATTCATGAAACAACAAATATTAAAGATAAGCATTAAAGGTTAATGAAGACAAAAATTAGCTTTGGAGTTTAGCTGTCATGATTCAAATCCTGACTCCACTATTTAATGTGTTTGTGACCATTAAATGATATTTAAGTTCTCTACAATTCTGTTTCCTCATTTGTAAACTGGAGAAAATAATAGTAGCACCTTCATATGTGCTGTGAAAATATAAATGGAATATTTAACACTATGCCTGACACCTAGTAAGTGCTCAGTAAACATTAACCCATTTATTATTAGTAATAGACATCATAGTGGGTTTTTTTATTATTGTTACTGGATGATTAGCCAAATCTCTATTTTCTGCTATGCGCTCTGGCAGCAGATTCTGTACAGTATTATGAATCATCAGCTCATCCTATTCTATCTAGATAGTCTGTCTTAATCTAAATATCAAAATATTCAACATCACAGTTCTGTGAATGTATCTTCTCCTTCTGTCTCTTGTTATCGACATAAATATTATCCTAGGATGTCAGATGGCAACTTACATTTTCTTGGACCCTCTGATTTTAGTTACAGCTGGGAGGTACAGATCCATGTGGCTGTGATTCACAATCTTGGTGAAGCTCTCAAGTGGGCGCAGGTGAGCATGGTTTGTCTTTGACCTCAGTGTAGACTCCTGCACTAAAGGGGATGATAGGAGACACTTTGCTTGTGTGTGTGTGTGTGTGTGTGTGTGTGTGTGTGTGTGTGTGTGTGATCTCAAAACAGGGTGAAGTTACATCCCTGAGCAGGACCGTAGGCCAATAAAGTGAAAGTGGCTTCCTTGTCTTTTGCTCGGAAAATTCTGGGAGGTATTCTCTACACTTCACCAGAAATCCCAGTGGAATCAAGCATGTTACTCACAGTGGCCACCTGAATCATGCCCCTTTAGCTCTGGAGATCATCTCACACATAAACTATATGCACATCAGCCTTTAATTCATCCTCTGCTTTAATAAAAATACAAGCAGGATGAATGATTTTCAAGATTCAAAAAATACCAAACACTTTCATCCTTCCTCTCTGTATAGGAACATATATATGTATATGTATAGCTTAAAAAATCCTCTCAATGATTTCTATGCAATCTTTTGTATTCAGGTTTTTTTTTGTTGTTGTTGTTTCAAATCATTTCAATTTAACAAGTATACATATGAAATGGCAAAACAAATATAAGGAAGATATGATCTTTTCCTTAGACAAGCAGACCCCCTGGTAGGGAACCTCATCTCTTTGTTGTTTTAGGATCAGAAGAGAGAGTAGTAGGCTGCATAATTCAAAATTATCATTGGCCCTCTGTGCAGTTCTCTCCCTCTAGGAAGGTTATGTGTTTCTGTCACATTGACATCTGGCTTAGCAATGTGTCTGTTACTTTATTTGGCCAAGAAAATAGACACAGAAGTGATGTTAGTAACTCCTGGAAAAAAAAAAGTTATTGTTTTTATTTGAATAATCCTTGTTTCTATGTCTCCTTTCCTTCTCTCTTCTATGAGAATGGCAATGCCTATCAGCCTGATCGGGTCTTGGAATAATGAAATTGTCAAACAAAGCTTCACACATGTTTTATATAGTTGAATATAATTGCATACAGTTGACCAATAATAAACAGGTGAAGGAAACAGAGATATATATTAAGAGACTACTACAAATGTCCAGGGAGGAAAGGGAAAAGCCAAATCAAAACAATGACAATGATGGATAAAATAAATGATAAAATGGTGCTTTTATTTTATTTCTTATTTTAGCGTAGTATAGGGGTACGTATATTGCCCATGCCCCCCCCTCGAGTCAGAACCTCAAGCATGATCATCCCCCAAACGTTGTACATCTCACTCATTGTTTTTGTATATACTCATCACCTCCTCTTCCCACCCACCTGCCCAACACCCGATAAATGTTATTCCTATATGTCCACTGAGGTGTTGATCCGTTAATACCAATTTGCTGGTGAGTACATGTAGTGCTTGTTTTCCATTCTTGAGATACTTCACTTAGTCGAATGGGTTCCAGCTCTATCCAGGAAAATATGAGGTGCTTTATCACCATTGTTTCTTAAAGCTGAATAGTACTCCATGGTATATATACCACATTCTATGAATCCACTCATGAATTGATGGGCACGTGGGTTGTTTCCACAGCTTTGCAATTGTGAATTGTGCTGCTATAAACATTCGAGTGCAGGTATCTTTTTCACAAAGTGACTTTTGATCTTTTGGGTAGATGCCCAGTAGTGGAATTGCTGGATCATATGGTAGATCTACTTGTATCACTTTCAGGTATCTCCATATTGCTTCCACAGAGGTTGAACTAGTTTGCAGTCCCACCAGCAGTGTAGGAGTGTTCTTGTCACTCTGCATCCACACCAACATTTATTGTTTGGGGACTTTTTGATAAAGGCTGCTTTAAATTGTATTTGGAAGTCAATTATTGACTCATTCGCTGTAAGTATAAGGATGACAATGCTTGAGTTTTGGCCCAAATTACATCATGTTTTAATTTTCATAGTCTTATGATAAATTTTTCTTTGTTTATTACACTTTTATATCTTCCTTGCCAACAGTGTAATCTTCTTATAGTGTAATTTTTTATGATGTCATTCATTTTCTAAACAGCCTTCCATGGCTTCCCACTGCTAAAGAATGAAGTTTGATATCCTTAGCCTTTGTTCACTGTCCTGATTCTAACTTTCAGTTCTTTCTTTTCTTAAAAAAATTCTATTGATTTATTGTTTTTTACCCTGAAACAATTTTTGAGTTTCCATGCAGATGCCTTGTCCCAGTTATCACATTTTTGTACTTGTTTTCCTACCTCTGCTTACTTTAATTCTAACTTGTTTTAGTCAGGAGAGACTAGATACTGCTAGTACAGTAACAAATGATTCCAGAATCCCAATTGATTACAAATAAAAGCTATTTTGTCCTTTCTTGCTACATGTGCATCTAGGGACAGATAAGACTCCAGTGTTCTCTTCATTCAACAACCCAGCCTGATAGAAATGTGTACAAACTTAAATTTATTCTCCAGACTTCTGCTTGGAAATGGCAATGTTCCTTTTCATACTGAGTTCAAAGCAAGTTAGGTACCAAGACTGCAGAGGAAAAATACATGGGGAGGGAAGCAGCAAAAATCTGTAAAACACACGCACCAATGTAATTTACCACATGGTCATATTCAATCTATTTAAAATACCACTGATTTCATTAATCTCACTCCACCTTCAAATACTTTTTATTTCTCAACTCTTGCCATTTGTACTAATTATATTGCACATGTTGTAATACCATACGTGGGGATCAACAAAGTTTTCTTAAGGGACAGATGATAAACATTGTAGGCTTGAAGTAAGAGCTATAGGGACAGATAGTAAACATTGTAGGCTTCAGGCTGTAGGTCCCAGTGGCAACTACTCAACTCTGCCATTGTACTGCAAAGTAGTCATAGACAAAACATAAATTAATGAGTTTGAGTCCTGTTTCAATAAGATATTGTATATAGAAGTAGGTGTATATGGCTGGTCTTCTGCAGTAGTTTGCAGACTTCTTTTCTAGAACAATGACTCAAACTTAAGTGTGAATGGGAATCATCTGGAGGGATAAAACATGGATCGTGAGTTACTACTCGTAAAGTTTTTGATTCAATAGGATGGAGAAGGACTTGATAATTTGCTTTCTCAATAAGTTCCCAGCTGATGGTCTGGGGACAACATATTGAGAACTACTGACCTACAGAACAAAGACAATGTTTTGTATTCAATGACTTATTTGTGATCAACAAATGAATTTAAATAAATGAACACATTTTACTACAAAATTGAGGAAAAACAATGTTTATGATTCGTACTTCATCAGCATATTCTTTTCTTCACAAAATCCAGGTGACTGCACTTAGCTAGAGACTACCCTGAATAAAACTATATTGGCTAGGCTACATAAATGAGTTACAATAAAGTTAGCCATTCACCTTTTTATAGTGACACAACATACAGTGTTGTAAATATTACATTTTTCCATGCCTCCCTTCACATGATGGACAGGTAACGAAATTGTTTTGTTTGTAAAGTCTCCCCAAGCTATTTCAATTTGTCACGACACACAAAGCTTGGGTACACCAAATGTATCAACCCATTTGTATTACTTCAGTGAAAGATTTCAGAAAGACACATTAACTTTATTCTTATTCAACACTGACATTGAAAAGACATTATTATTTGTGTAGTTTGAACTACCAATTCTACTATACTTCTACATATTTTTAAAACAGCATTTAAACTCTACTCTTGATTTTGACATACTTAAATGATTATCTTAAATATTGCAGCATTCTTGATATATAAATTAATACAATAATTTAGATTATTGGAGAGAAAAATAAATGATTCCTGATGAATTCATTTGACCAAACTTTTGTTCAGCATTTAGCACTTTAATAGTGAAATGCAAAGAAAGATCATCATGGTTAAAGCAGGCATTGTGGTTTTGTGGATTTTGGAGGAATTAGTATGATTATTTTCAACAGTGATACTTTTAATTGTACTATTGTATTGCTATTGCAATACTTTTAACATTTTGCATAATCACTAATAAATTCCCTCATTAAAAATGTTAATTTAAATCTTTTACAATTTGTAAATATGACAAAATTAAGAAAGACTAATTCATATAGCTTGAACAATTTTTAGCTCCTCATAGAGATTCTAGACCAAATTAGATCAGCCTAGAAACAGGGAAATGAATTAGAAGAAAGTGCTTGAATATGGTTGTTATGACCAATTAGCATCCCGTTCTCCTTCAGACAATGTTTAAAGAATTAAACCACGTCCAGGTAAATGGACTTTATTGTCTTGTTCCATAATTAAAAGAATCAAGCTACTTAGTTAAGGGAAGACTACAGCCCAAGCCTTTTCCCTCCCAGCTGACAGTACTCTGATAGGCAGTAGACCGCAAACATTTAAAAAGAAAATCGTCAGGTGCTAACCCAGGTGCTATCGCTTTCTCAGCGCCTAATCTTCAACCTCTACTAAGCTCGTTAAATGAGTCTTCTGAGAGCTATGGAGTCCTTGGATTCATTGAAAGCATTCTACAACGAACGCTAGGGGGGAAAAAGAACAAACAACATACATTTCAAATATAGGATTCAATTACTTTTCACAACTCAATGATGTGTCAAAGGCACGCTGTGTTTTGTTTTGAGGGCGGGGAGATGACAGGGAGGGAATCCTGAGCCCCCATTGGCTCGCCGCTCGCCGCTGCAGCTGAGCTCCAGCCGCTCCAAGAGCATTATTGATCCGAAGGGTGAATGTGGAGGGAGCCACAGAGGGGTCCAAGCGTTTCTGAGAAGAGAGGCAGCCTCTTCCAGGAAGAGAGTGGTGTCTACTGGCTGCCCGGCCTGGAGAACCTTCTGTGAATGAAAGGGGACAAAATGCAAAAGCAGTGTGTTGCTACAGTGATTTAGGAAGGGGAAAAGGGAGAGTGAGAGAGAAAGAGAGAGAAGGGTCTCACCTTCCGTGCAAGGCTGGGTGTTGCATCCTGCTGCTGCCGTCCCTGCCGCTGCTCCTGCAGCTGCTGTTGCTGCCATCAGGTAAGGCTTCCTTTTTTGATGGGGATTGCATCGTGTGTGTGATCGCTTCAGGGTACAAGCGCCGAAATTCATACATGATTAATAAAGTGATGCCTAGCGTAGTCAGAAGCTGAACGAGGCTGCACACAGATCTGGCATCTGAATTAGGAGCTGGTGCGTGGTTTTGCTTTGGGAAACTTCGGTAAGTTCTAAACAAGTCTCTAGTCCTTACAGCGTGAGAGGTTGCATTGAAAGAGGAGGGAAAGAAAGACTTTAACCACGAATGCTCCTTAGCATGGCTACATTTTCAAATGAAAATAAGTAGGTATGCTAGATGTTCAACTGGTTATTTTCATATCCGATTTTACAGCAAAATAATATTTTCAAACAGCTTCTGTGAAACTGGTCCGCTTTATCCCCTTCTCCACTGACATTGAAAATTTTAAACTTCATTTAAGAAGAAACCTGTGAAACAATTCAAATGTATTAAAGCCTGTCTCTCAGAATACAGCCATCTGAGTTTCTTACCACAAAACTACTTTGGGACAAATGGAAAAGATACAGATTACCAGATCTGCTGTGAGTTATATAATATGCATTTCAAAATCATCTTAAGGTTATTAATCATTTGATGATACGTTTAAAAAGTAAGGAATATGTGTGATACAGTACATGATAGCGAATCATTTTTCAAAGAGACCTTCAGAACCTTAGAAATATTGTCTTATATTTTAACATCATTTGTTTTTCCTACATCAGGATCATAGTGGCTTTAGGACCTCCAGAGTGCCTGATGCCTCTTATATACACATTTCTCCGTGCTCTCTGGAGAGAGAACTGGCATACTTTTGGCTGATTCTGTAACCATTTCATGATTTTCAATTTCTCATCGGGAATTTTGAAGTTCATTCACAAAGTGCTCAACTAGAAAATTATCTTACATACTAAGTGGGAAAATTTAAATACACTAGATTTTGAAAATGTGTTTACAGTCTTAAATTACACTATACATGAACAAAACAGGAAAATTCCAACTATGTCAAGCAGGTGTTAATTTGCTTGATCTTTACTGCACACCTGATAGGTTGTAAGATTTATAAAATAAAATCCAGACACACAACTGTCCAGAAATACTGAACCTCATCATTCAGTGGCATCACTTAGCCATTAAAATAACCTAAGCAATTTAAAATACAGTTTTAACATATATATTTTCATTATTATTTCTAGAAAGAAATTTAATGAATAGGTTTTTATTATAAATATATCCATGATTTTAGCAGAATATGTCTTGAGAATTGAAAGGCAGATGGTTACCCTTCTCAAGCCATAAGCAGTTGACTGATAAATTGTTTTGAAGTGCTCAAGTGCAACACACAAAGTAGGAGCTTCCATTTAACTAATCTAACTATCTGGTACAGCAGGTTATTCAACAAGATTTAGGGACTGTTCCTCCACCTGCTATAGAAACTACTGAAGTAAAAAGAGATTTCATATTAACTTGAAAATCAAATTTCAGAATATTACAGTTCCCCCTTAATTAATAGCTCTTACTTCAAAGACTAAATTCCAAGGTTAACACTGCCACTGTTCAGCTTCTTCTCTATTAAAAAATCCCATTTTATTTTTGTTTCATTTTCCATTGTGTTCAGCAATCTCCAGTTTCTGCGTTCTTAAGTTCTGCTGTATACCATTCTCAGCAGTAGGGGGAAGTTTTCAAGCCAAGAATGCTTTTTTTCCTACTCAAACTCATTCCTTCCACTGATCTGCTTAGTGATGTGACCATTTTAGATAATTCCTACCAAAAAAAAAATAAATAAATAAAAAACTGAATTACTGTGTGGGGGCTGTTATTTGTTCCACATGTGGGATGATAGGTATTATCTTCTTATTACTGCAAAAAGAGTGCTTAGTTTATAGAAAAAAAATTACTGTTAATGCTTCACATGACATAATTACACCTAAATATGACTTCATCCTTTGAGAATGATCTTAAAACTGATCTTAAATTGAGCATCTTTTGTATCTGGTGTTTTAGCACAGCCTATTTCATGTAAGAGTCTATGATATAGCTTGAAATCAATCAATCTTATGTCATTTTTTGGTTAAGATCATATGTTATTCTTGCCTCTTAAAATGCATTGTGATGAACATCAAATGACTCTTGTTGATTAAACAGAACTGAAATATTTGTCTTAAACTGTTCTTATATGGAATGTGAAATAATACTGTGTTTTCACACCTATGCCATTTATATGTCACATCATTAAAACTAACAGTTGTGACAGGAGGATGTATAGAGTGATAGCTCTCTTTAGAAATGAGGCATGTTTTCATGTAACAATATCAAATCTAAGGACTTGTGTAATACAATGACTTACTAGTAGACTCTGTTATAACGTCTTCTTATTTCCAAAGGAAAAGTGTGATTACAAATGTCTCATTTAAAGTGAGATTCTATTCTCTTTATCTTCCAACAAAGTATTACTGTTTTAAAAGTAATTATATCATACATTACCATGTAATTTTTACCACATCCATAGGTAACATTTTGCTTTTAGTGTAGTCCCAATTCATGATCCTATTTACATTTTAGGTGGAAAATATTTTGCCCTTCTTATCTAACAAATACTGAGTTTTTTTAATAGGGTCAACTAATATAAAATAAATTTAATCATTAAAAAGTGAAAATTTATGATTTTTACCCGGAATTTTCTTTTCACTTTACTAATATATGATAATTGAACAATTTACACTCTCACAGCTTTTAGAAGCATTTTAACATTTGGCTTTAATGCAATTGAATTTCTTTCTGAATTACTATGCTGAAAGGGTGATATATCATATCCACACTTAAAAAGGAAAATGTATGTGTGTGTGTAAATGTGTATAATGCCACCTGTGTTGAATATCAATAGTATATATTCAAAGTTATTTTTACACATCTCATGATAAAATGATTAATAATAGGGAAAAAATAATATTTTTACAACTGTCCAAGTGAAAGTTATGACTATGGAAAGATTGAATAACAGATGATCTTTACATATTATTATTCTACTTTTTTGTGAGAACCTGGATAAATGTTCTAAAAATTTAATTATTCATTTATCTAATTATCATTAGATAATTATTATTTCATTTAACAGCACCTGGTAAACTGTTGAAAACAAGGCATATGTTTACCAGTCTTCTAAATTTAGCTTTATTCAGTCAGGTTTGTGTCACTCTATCATATTGTGGCTCATGATATTAAGGCATAAATTAAATCTTCAGTATGTTTCAATGATTCTTTGCATTGGTTTCCTTTAATCCTTGCTCTGTGACTATCTGAGTCATTGCTCTATAAATGGATTTATATATTACCTTGAATATAGGGTTGTATTACTTGAACATATAAAATTCTTCATATATATATATATATCTTATGAATATATGTGTGAAGATTATAGTGAGAAAAGAATCTGTATGCAGATACCCATTAGGGAATTACAGGACTTACAAATTAATCCCTATCTGTGTTCATAGACTGAATGATGCATGCTTAGTTCCAGGTGCATATAAGTAGTCAAACATTAGGACATAGGTTGTGAATTTAGACTTATCTGCAAAGTATAATGCTAGGTACAAGTATGCTTGAGTACACCTTAAGTGGGCCATATAATCAATGGGTTCTGTAACTTCAATTTGCTGGAAAATTATTATAACATATAAAAAAGTTTCCCCATGTACAAAGATGAGAGTCCTGCTGCACTGTCTGCATAATAATGTGGAAAGATCAAAACTTCAGAGTCTGACAATGCTTTCAATCAATATGTTGAGAATTATTCCATGGGAACTTTGGGGCAAATTACTTAACTTTTTGATTTTGGGTTTCTTCCCTTGATTTAGTATAATACTACCCCACAGACAACACTCATGGTCAAGTCTTTCTCTTTTAACCTTTCTAAACTATGGAAAGCTAGATTTGTGAAGAATGACTACAGCCAGAGCTGGCCCATTGGGTTACATGAAGGTCTGTGAGGGCTAAGACTTGTCATAGGCTGAGCTGTACCTGTCCTGTTGAGGTAGACATGGTCCTCAGTCATTTGCCTGGAAAAAATTCCTTATTTTGGCAATAATCCTTTATTTAGACAGGCATGGGTACTTCTGGCAGTTGAAAGATCAGTCAAGTTTACATTGTGATGAAACTTTTGCCATTATATTAATAGTTCGAAAGGTATAGATGTTAGAAAAAGAAAATATGAAGCGAGTGGAGAGTGGATTCAGAGTAAAGGGAAGTTTGTGGTATTGTCTTTCACAGAGACCTGAACACATGAATAAAAGAGATAGAAATCATTAGAAAGAGGGTGATCATACAGAGAAGGGAGTTAATTGATAAATTAATATTTTAGTGAAGATGAAAATTTATAATGTAGGGGAATCAGTGAAAGATACAATTAGAAGATGTAATTAATTTTAATAATGCCAGTGACATAGTACTTAAAAACCAAATATCAAACCATTTTATCTGACATTTCAATGTTTATTAAAATAATATCCTGAATGTAAATAAAAGATTGTCAGGAAATAATCAAAATGTGATGAAAATTAAATTATAGAAAGTAATACTGTTAAATGTAATTGAAAAAGATTCAAATGATTAAGAAATGTTGAAAACTGGAGGAAATTCACATTAATAAACTCCATTCTGCAATGAAAAAATATTTTGTGGTGCTACCATTAGCATTAAAAGGTGTGATGCATTTAAAACTATTTCTGAAGACAAAATGTAGGAATGATTGAAGTAATAGTAGATAACAAGATATTCTAAAATGAAGTGTCCTCCTACAACTTTGCAAGTCAGTATTTCCAGGAAGGGTTGCCATTATTTTAAAGGATGTGATTGCAGGCAGATTTTAAAGCAAGATTTTACTGAAACGCCTCTCTTTCCTAATTACCAGCAATATGATAGTGAACGAAAAGTACAAAATAAGCTCTTGACAAGGCTTTAAGCTGTATCTTTCTTAGGCAAGAATGAG